ACTCAATAAACATGATTATTTCTTCCTGTTTAAGGTATATTTTTTATCTATGGAAAATAAATAATAATTTTGTTGGTTTAGTTTGATGGAAGAGGGTAACGCAACACGTGGATGAACTGCCAAGGGGGGTGTCTTCCAGGAGGGCTTTTTAAGGGGAACTGACACTGATTAAGGTGTTAGACATGTACAAAAAAAACCGGAAAACTCCACGTGGTCAGCACAATTGGTCAGGTGCGAACCTGCTACCAGTGTTCAATAGTTTTATGCACTACACAAAAATGGAAAAGTCGATCCGTTCGATGATGAACGACTGTAGAATGGAAATTTATGGAAAATATACAGAGCCAGATAAAGATTATGGTGGTTTTTAAAGAAATAGGTCTATTTAAAGCTTATAATATTCAATTAGTAAAAAATATATTATATTAAAAGTGTAATAATTTATGAATGTTTATTACGAAAATTTTGAAAAAATTAATAACTAAACTTAACATTTTTGTAAATTTTCATCTAATGGAGATTATTATTATTAATTAAAGACAGTCTGCCCAAAAAGGGGCCACCATTTATTTTTCGTGTTCCAGACTTCACATTCACGGCGACAGACCTTCCTTTATAGGCTACATGCCGCCAGAATTTAAAAACAGTCCTTTAAAAAACACAATTACATCCAATTAAAAAAACTTTTTAAAAAAGGAACTGGTGTTACACAGAAATCTTGCTTTCCATTCTTCTTATGGGGTGTTTCTACTTTTATCTACTGGAATAAGCGCTGGAAAATGCAGATTTCGGAAACTTAACATAATATTAACTTAACATAATATAAACTTAATATAAACTTAACATAATATTATGGTATTATTGTATTTGCTCTAAAGGATGGAATAAAAATGAGTAGATATTAAGTTCTGTTAGTTAAAAATGTTGCAAGATAAACGAATAAATTAATTAGTTTTGCATTTATAGAAACAAGAAATGTGTTTTATTTTACAAAAATATCATAAGAGAACTTCAAGTCAAGGATACATGAAAACACATAAATGTATATATAGTTAGAAAGCACGATATTTATCATGGAAAACGATAATATATAGCAGAGTTGAATGCTCTTTATCAAAATATACCTTTTGAGATATCATATATTTGTTTTTCTCTCCGGAAGAGTGGTGTCTTATTTATATAAAGAAAAATCCAATATCCTATCGTGTATACAAAATAAAGAATATATTAAGATGATATTTGGAACTAACGAAAAGAAAGATTGTGATGTTTCCAAGTTATCCAACGCGATTAGTATAATGTATTTTTTTTTTTTTTTTTTTTGCAGATTTACGATATTATCTTTACAAATTATGTAAATATGATTGTTTCCAGAAATATTATTTTAGTGATAAATGCTATCCGAATAAAGAAAGATGGAAGAGGAAATTGATATTGATTTGACAAGCTGACATCATCTTACATTCACCAATCATAGATTTACTAAATTAAACAGATTAAGGCCAAAGAAGTTAAGACGTTATTAGCCTGCATTTATGAGGAAACGAAGATCGGATCGAGAGATCAACTCCCCGGGAATTTTTCATGGGCAGTTTGTCCCGAATATGTCAGGTCATCTGCTTTTTCCATTGTTGGCATGGCCGAATCCATAATGGACCTGGAAAAAAGACTCTCTCAGTGCTCACAGGGCCAAAAAAAGCAGATTTTGTCGTTCACTTCTAACTTGTACAACTCCTCCGGATTATGATTTGTCGTGAAACTTTATTCTATCGATTTTACATATGACAATGATAGAACGTAATTTTAAATAAATGATCTTCCAATTGAAAAATGGAAAGAAGATGAAAAAGTTTTTTAACTTTTAAAAAAATGAATTTTTTAAACTATTCATTTATACTTCAATGGAATGTTTCCCTTCCTTTAATACATAAATCTTTCAAAATAAAAAAACTGTCAACTAAATAGCGATAAACCGTAAAACGAATAATATATAACTTTCTACTTTCAATTTTGAAAAGTTATACGTATGATTCTGTATAAATTCTTAAAATTTCGTTTAAAAAAATAGAAGATAAAAAATATGACTGATAAAATCTTTATATAAACTAAAAAAAGGAAGCGAAATGTCATGCATACTATAACTTTTAAGATATACTAAAAATAGGTTTATGATAATTACATGCAAGATTTATAAATAGATTTTGTTATAATCGTTATAAACAGCCGAAAAGTTAAAAATAGGATTCGCTAAATATAAAAATGGTAACAAACTATTAATCTATGCATCTTTGAACAGCTGAAGAACGTTACAAAGATGTTATATTTGATGTACTTTATTATTAATACTCTACGTTACGTGCATTGTACTTTCTGCATAATAATTAGTTTAATTTCTACTATATTAATTCTTCAATTAAACTTAAAGTTAATATAGTAAAAAAGAAACTAACTATTATGTAGAAAATATAATGCAAATAATGAAAAAGGTATTAATAATAAAGTACATCAAATATAACACAAAACGAGCAATTATTTATTGTGACATCGTCACAATGCCGAGCTATAATTTTTAATCATATTCTTAACTTATTTAATTTAAAATACTATATATGTTCGCCATCTCAAATTAGTAGGGTCTTCGCCTGTAAATCATACTTTTCCTGCTAACAACAAAGTCATGCCGGTCATCTATGTATTGCCATTTAGAGGAAGAATTATGAATTTAAATCATATGGCTTCCAATGTATATCGGAAGTTCGTATTTAGTTAATCAGGACTTTCTGCCCATACCCTTTCCATATCCGGTCTTGATGTTTATCTATCTAACACTGTTCTCGAGATTAAGAACGAACAGACAGACAGACGAACGAAAGCGGGAATTTATAGATCTACAATATTTTTAAAATTGCAGCCCAATGAATCATTTTACGAAGAAAAAGAATAGCTTTAATTGAATAATAGTTTACATGAATATCGATCTATATTAACATTTTCTTTAGTATTGAAGCAGAATTAATAATATACAAAATACCAATAAATATTCAACGTATAGAAGAATAAATTAATATTTTGGCATTCTCCCGAAGGCGAGTTGACAATTTATATTAATAACGCATTTAAATTATGCATGCGCCTAATTAATTTTAAATCTTTAGTTGAAAATATGCTCTTATTAGAAAATAATACAGGAAATTACATTGGCTTTAACTTCTGAAAGTAAATTAATAGACGTTAATTAATGAAAATTGAGGTTTTTTTAATTTTAATCAACAAGACATTAGCCGATTATACAGAATTGATAGGGTTGACATTTTTTAAGCTCTTTTGTTATTATTATTTTTTGCTTTAAATTAGTCTACTCGAATTGAACATTGTTCATAAAGCTACTTAATCCCATCTTACTAAAATGTGATTACTAGAATCTAATGACTCGTATAGAACTCTCTAATGAAGTAAGTTTGAATAATCTCCAATTATTTTTAATAGGATTTAATCCAAGAATAGTTACAAGGGATGGAGAATGAGATTTCAAATAAAACAGTAAACAGTAGCTGTTAATGATAAAAAAAAAGTTTAGTTCGCAATATCGGAGATAAATAAATCGATGGCCATAGTAAATAAAACTATCCACAGAGTAGAATTTATTCATCTTTTTACACTAAATATTATGTTTTGACGTTTTAAAATTACAAAAAGGAGGAAAAGATCGTTAACGATCGACACGGTTGTGTATTGATCAGAGAGCGTCTAAATCGATGAGTTATCTCATATCTCAAACCTTAGAAACTAGGACAATTGATTTTTTACTTGATTTATTCAAGTTGAATTTTAAATAAGCCACTCTGATTTTCTTTTTTCTTTTCTTATTTTTTTACGTAAGCGAGAATTGTTTTTGAGTCGAACCACTTGTCGAAATGACGTTTGATTCACCAAATGTCTGTTAACAGCTTCGACATTTGAATCCATTCCAAATATTTCTAAAAGTGTCAAAATGGATTTTTGCCAGTTTTTAATTGGGTCAGAGTAAAACATTTTCCTACATTTTCTTCCGTAAAGATCTACAATCGGATACAATTATTTTTTTGTTAACGGTATTTATACGAGTTAAAATGATTACGTATTGTAAACTGAATCTTGCGTGATTTATAATTTAAGTTCACTAAAGAATAAGGATAAATACATTTAAAAACGCAAATATTTTATCAACCATTAAACAAGCTTATTGCTAAATTTTAATCGTAAATCCTTCAACTCGAATCTTATTCCTTAAGATGACCGAAATTCGAAACTTTTTATGATTAATGCGATAATCAATATTAAATAAAAGTTATAAAGAAGTTTGTAAAATGTAAAATGAGCTTTCGATGATTTATTTCTAGCTGCAAGTTATTTTTTTAACGTTAACGAGAAGAGAGAAATAAAATTAGAAATATCCTACAGACATATACGTAAAAATTGATTTTTTATCAAAGTATATGTTTGAACAATTAGTTAAAAAAGCCTTTAAAACCCTGGTTTTTATTGTATAAAACTTACTAAACGATTCATTATGTGTTAATTCAACTAAAACTTATAAAAATAATTTCTTTTATTCGATTCGAAGATATTAATTTTTGAAATTAAGAAACCACTTGTTAATTTGTATGTATCATCTTTGTTTATAATTGTAATAAGTTTGTTAATAATGTATATAATAAAAGATCTTTTTATAAGTATTTATTAATTATTTTGAGTGTTTTCTTTACTTTTCGATATAGAAGTTTTTAATTATTAAATATCGCTCACGTTCTTTTCGATTTATTGTTAACAATAGTAGAACATGTTATAGCAAGAGATAACACTTTAAAGAAAAGAAAAGATAAGACAGCTTTAATAATTTTTTTTCCAGTAAAAGTCTTATATAACTTTTTATTAAATATTTTCTGTCAGTTTTTTTATCACTTCGATAATAAATTAAATATTTATAAAATGATAGAAAAATGTTTACACCTATTACTCACCTGCAGGTGTTGGTATGCTGAGAAGAAATGTCCTGTTATCGAGTTTTCCCGTCTGAGAAGCTGCAGCGGTTATCGATAAATCCAGCAAACGTTGCATGCTGTCAAAATTGAAATAGCCCACAGTAGATTTATCCGGATTATCTTGTGGCATATTCTCATCGAAAGAATCTGGTGCCGAATTAGTTTGCTGCCTCATAAAACACATTTTTCTTCTATCACTGACACTAGGCTTTCTTGTAAGTGGTAGAGTTGCGGGTGGAGTATGAGGTGGAGTATCGGACGGCGGAGTGACATTTTTAGTAATTATAGGAGTTTCTTCGTCTTCCGCCACGACGGTCACTTCCGGATTTGTACTTAACGTTTGAACGTGATGGGGTACGTACATCTGATCGACTCTACTTTCATCAACCGATACTTGATGTACCAACTTTTGCCTCGATCTTCCACGCTCTAGAGACATAGCTCTTTGTAGCATGGAAGTTTTCTTCTTAGGCTGGACTTTTTTATTTGCCGCTAGTGTTTCGTCTATAGTAGATGCGATCTTCATCGATCTTTGTGATCCTGTAAGGGACGATATCGAAGAACCGATGGATCGAGAAGTTAAGTCCGATGTTATTTGAGATAAGATCGAATCTTTTTTTGTGGAATTTTTTCTTCCGTTTCGTGTAGAAATCGTAATTCCGCTATCCGCTGGAGATAAATCGCACTGAACGGCAACATCTCTTTGCCAGGGAAAGCGTGGATCGCCTTGTTGACAGTTAATATCTAAAGCGCTACAATACGTTTCTTCTGGTAATACTGCAAAAGGATTAAAATGATCAGGGGGAATTTCCGTGATTCTTATACTTCCGGTACTTGCTTGCCTGCCCGATTCTGGTAAAGGTACAGGACACGATGGTCGAACGCCAGTGGTGTCCTTTCTGGCTGTTGTGGTAGGTGGATCCTTGAAGGATTCTGAGTAACTCCTCTTTGAACCAAATCGTTCTCGTAGAGATTTAGTACGACTAGAAAAGGGTGAGGAACGACAGATACTCATCTTCAATGTTATCTGCAAATATATAATTCTTAATTAATTTTGTTAATAACAATAATTGCTTTTTATTCTTAATAAAGAAAACGAAGGCGTTATTAATCTTTACTAAGAATAAATATTAATAAGAAACTGTATCTGAAATTACTTATCTCGAAACTTAATTACTAAGAGTATTATATATATGTGTGTGAAATTATTATGTATTAGTTTACTGTTAATGCAACATGTCAATTAATTAGCAATTAGCTATTAAGTTCATTGAATGACTGACGATTCAACTTCACAATGGATTAATTAATTAATTAGTCATTTCTGTGTTGCTTTGATAGAATTTTTAATACATATTCTTTATATAAATTAATATTTATAAATTATAAGCTATTATATTTATAATTAATCGATATCGTTACGGTAAATATTATAAATGAAAAAATACTAAAAGAGGGAAGGAAATATCATTATTATTTTTATTTTATTATATTTATTTATTTATATTTTTTTGCTATCATTAAAGCGAAATGTCATTAGTCCCGGAATAAAGATCATTAAATATAATCATTCATCACTGAAGCATAATATCATCATTTATCATTAAACAAGAATTTTCCTTGAAAGTTTACTAATGAAACACGAAGTTTTCTACCGAAACACACTCAATAAGCAATTAACTGCATTTATAATTCAATATGATTTTTAATTAAAAATTAAATTTTATTAGGTTAATGAACATTATACAGTGTTTATCTGTAATTGGATAAGCGTCTAATTTATATCACTACTGTTTTGTTTGGAAAATTATAATAACAAATGATCATTGAATTTCTTAGATGCAAATAAACAATCGCGTAGAAGAGACTTCTCCTGTTCACTTCACTGACTAGAAAATTCATTTGAATGAGTTGTAGACTCTCTGCTTATATTATCTGCAGACTACTTTTCGTTGAAATCGAATTTATAAGTTGATTTCTGCATTTCCCGTTAAACATAAATATATTTTGTCGATAAAAATTTAAAATATATTATTACAATTATCACTTAATGAATCATCATCTAAATATGAAGTATATTTCTACGTTTAAAATCTTTAATTAATAAAAATTATTATCCTTACAATTACAGAAAAGTTTAATATTTTATTTTAATTGAAATAAATACAGCTTAATGAGCTGTATAAATCATTAAAAAATTTCAAATATTTACAACTTGATAAAATACAAATTAGTGTTTTAAAGAGAAAAATAATAAGCGTTTCGTGATAGAGAAAAGCAAAAGGATCGTTTTCTCTCTCTCATACAAAAGGAAAAAAATGAGAAGGAAATCTTATACCGTCAAAAACCTGATAGATAAGAGGCACTTATGGCATCAAGTAATTGTAAACCAAGCTGTAACAAGTATCACTGGATATATAATAATCATTCAGATAGAAAAAATTATAAGTACAAGTTTTGATAATTATTATATACTGCAATTCGCTGAAAGTAAGTTATTTTATATATCAAGGCGAGCGAAATGTTTACTTGTTTTCTACGAACAAACTCCACATGAGAAAGGAAAAAAGGTAGATTAGGTTTTGAGAACAGAAATAACATATCAATTCTAACATAGAGAAGAGTGAAAAAGAACAAGGATAAAAGAAAATCCAGATAGAACTTATCAATCAACCAATCAGAGAAGAAACCAATAAGACTGGAAAATCCAGGGATAGAAAAAAGATCAAACTTTGTTTATTCTGTACTCTGATATTAGAAGACGACTAAGTAAACAGAATAGAAAAAATCAAATCCATAAAGAGTCTAATTTTAACAATAATTATAATTTATATTCTCATTTATATATTGTATTTCCAATCAAGCTGTGTATTATATGCTATTAACTACATTGTAATTAACTTTTAATTGCATAGTTATAACCATACGCTGTATTTATCTAATGAATTATTATTTTAATAACCTGTTACATCTTATTTAAAGAAGATAAATCAGTTTATAATATTTTAAAACCTTCAAAATTATTCAAAATTCTAAACTAACCATTTGTTTAAAATCTGAAATTGTAGTTTTAATGTTAAATTTTACATTTTTGTCTCTTAAACGGACTTTAAAATATTTACATAAGTAATTTAAATAAGTTAAATTTTACATTTTTGTGCACAAGAACTCGCGACCGAAAGTCGAATGTAAATGTAATTTGTTAGAAAGCGAAATAAAATTTAAGTAATGCAATTTGTGAAATGTTAATCTGTTTCGGAAGATAAATGATTATATAGTCTAAATTACGTGTTTGGTGATTAACGCGATACTTTAACCTCCAGTTTGTGTTACCGTCTTCGTCGACCTTTAGTCCGGATGCCAAAATAAGCCCTTTATTTCTGTAAATAAAATCAATTTAAACTCGCTTCGATATCTTTGTCTCGTTCAAATAAAATACGCGAAATTTGAAATTATAAAATGAAATTAGTTTTAATCCATAAAAGAAGCGAATTAAAAAATTTAATACAAGGAAAAAAAAACTCTAGAAGAGTTGNAAACGGTAAAAATATTATAATAATATTTTTGTATAATATATAATATTTCAACGGAATTTAAAAGCAAGCATCAAAAATGCTTGATTTTAAATTCTATTGAAATGTCTTTTGATATTTTAAGCTTTGTTACATTCGTCTTTCATCAGTCAACCAAAGTTTATGCTTGAGCGAGGAAATATAAAATATGAATTTAATCTTTCTTGTTTACACTTTCCGATCGTTCTGTCATTCGAAACCAAAGTTCGTTCTATTTATAAATGCAATTCTATCTCTTCGTGTCAATCCCTATTACAATTAGTTTACATACACATTCTCTGTCTCTCTCTCATTTATTAAACAGTAAAAAACGTATAGTTTAAAACAAAAACCTTAATTTTACGGGGAAATTCTTTAATTTTTCATCATTATACGCTTTACTAAAAATAATGTGATTAATTCTAATAATTTTTCTTATGAAATGAATTTTAATTAAAGAGTTAACAAAGAGATAATTATCGAGAAATTCGTGATAAACAGCATTTTAACTCAATACATCATCCCATCATAGCTTGTCGCTTTATCGTTAAAGAATGCATCAAACATATTTAATAAAGGATTACACCATCATAATTTATAATTTCATAATATTATTTTTAAAATTTAAGATTTTGTTTTCTTAAGAGTTAATATTGTTAGAAAAAGTTTGACATTAATGAATGTTATCTAAAAATGGATCTTAACATTAATTAATATTGTAGTTAAAAATGGATTCATATTTTTAGATTCCTCTTATATAAAAAATTAAAGAATTTATTTGCAGCTAGAAAATATAATTATGGTATTTTATGTAATGCTTTTCGATCGAAATAACTCTTAAATTATTAGTAAATAATTTTACTTATTCTTTTTTAAAGATAAAGAGTTTATCCAATTAATTTTATAACAATAACAGAGAGCATAAATACCAGGCACATATATGCGTGTATGGAATAATTTGACCATACAAAATATGAGAAATATATTCTTTCCTTGTGGATTTTAGCCAGTAGGTATGAAAGATTTCAGCTGATATACTAAACTGCATGAATTATAATAAGCTAAGTCACCGTGAATCAGATTAAGCAAGGCTTTTTTTTTACTGTTCTCTCTCATTTTCTATTAATTTAATTTAAATTTTTCAATGTTTTTAAACTTCTAATAACATGAATTGTTTGTATACAATAATATATGGAGAAATTATGAGGCTTTCCACAAATGTAGAAGGTTTGATCATTTGGTTAAAATTTCGAAATTATAATAAAATTTTAAATAAAACATAAAATATTTAAAATTAATATTTAATTATTATTAATCGATGAACATAATTATTTATTTAGATTCTATTTGGCAATATTATTGTTTTATTTTATTCTTTTATGAATTGCAAAGGAAAAAACAAATCTTATTATCAAGTTTAAAATATATCCTTTAAGAGGATTATATTTTTATTTTAACTTAAATATTTGAATGAAATTTATCCTTTTTGAATTAATATCAATTATTCTGAAACAGAAAGAATTTTTTGTTTTAGTAACAAGATAAGAAAACGTCATAACTAAATTAGTTTTGCTATGCGAATAAATAGAAATCTGCCAGTGTAAATTTTTATTATGAAAACCTTTTCAATCTAGATGAAAGCTTATCGAATATGTAAGAAAATTTCCTTTCAACGCTATAAAAATCTTATTTTGAAAGCTGCAAGAATTAATAAACTAATTAAGTTTTTTTTTTTTACATTTTCGACCTAATTTGACTAAGATTTTCAAATTCTCATTTATCAAATGAAGTGTATATCAACAAAAAATAGGGAAGTTTATTTAAAAATTTTTAAATTTCTTTGGCTACGAGAAAGCGCGCGTTATTATCACATCTAAACCTTTAGATAATGAATTAACACTTGTATAAATTTCAAACATCAAATAATAAGTGTCAGATTATTTAATTATATTACTAAAAATATTTAATTCATTAATCATTTATTACATTCAAATACTGCACCCAATGTTACGAATAGTCAGAATCAATAGCAATATAATATGTTATGCAAATAGTAGAAAACCATTTGAGTTTGTAAAAATTTGTATGAAAATCGAGCAATAATCAGAACTGAACATCTTGTTGTGGCCCTAAGATATAACGTATAACAGGTCCTTCCAATCCACCATATAAAGGCCCTAAACTGATGTGCAAATCTGGCCCTGAATATAGTTGCATATTGTAATGAGTCGCAGAGTTTAATAAATACCATATAAAAGCTCTTATTCAGATAGGAAAGTTTTGTTTTTGTATGGTAAATATGTAACAAAATACAACACATTACTAAAAATTCAGCAACGAGTTGCGTAACTTTTCAGGAAAAAGAATTAAAATTGTGTATGGCGCCATCTGTTATAAAACTTAATTAATAAAATGATATTTTTATTTATAATTATAAAATGGAAAAACCTTTAATTTTGAGGGGAGAGACGACTTT